GCTTGTTGGGCTTTGCTGAAGTTGCTCTTTTCATCTTTGCATCTGACGGTGCAAATCGACAAGAAAGGGCCGTTTAAGGCAGTCTTTCTCAACCTTGGCCACTTTAAGAGGGGTGGACTTCAACTCCCAGAATTCCCCAGCCACCCATCTCAAAGTGGCCACCCATCTCAAAGTGGCCAAGGTTGAGAAAGACTAAGGGCCACAACGACGAAGAACAACCCATAGAGGAAAACTCAACTCCCCGGCTCAAACTCCCGCTTCCAAAGGGGCGACACCTGGCACCCGTGTTCCTGCCATGCCCCATTTTTGTAGGAACGACGTGGGATCTTGCAAAAATACAAAATAAGTCTCTGGAATCTTGCAGGGGGATTTTTGGTCTTTTTCTTTTTCTCCCCTGCTGGCTATCTAAAATAGTTCGCTCCTTATTGTTGTCGGGGGCCACCGTTCTCAATGGGCGAGTTCAATTCACAAAAATGGGGGGAACCTTTAGAAGCAAGCGAAACATTGGAATCTCCCGTCCCTCACTTCCTCGAGCCCTCCCCTCTCCCGGCCGAAGTCTGTGGCGTCACTTCCCTCCTTCGCCTTGACATCGCCGCCTGCTTCAGGGTTCGCAACGCAGCCGGAGAGGTGGGGCTCAGAGAGACCGGAAGCTCTGGTTACCGTGGCAACGAAATATCCGGGCCCTTCGCGCCGCGGAGCGATTACTTCCGGGATGGCTGGTCACCTAGGCAACGGGCAGCTGGTGGAGGCTTGCTAGGAGCCGAGACGCCATGGCGGAGGTGACAGCCCGGCCGGTGAGCGGGAGTCCCCGTTCTCGACTGTTGCTCCGCTTTCCCCTCCTGGGGGGCAAGGGAGGGCCGGGGAGGGGACGGGCCCCCTTTTTTCCAGCGCCTGCGTGGCCTGATTGCGCCTTGCCCTTCCTCCCGCCGTCTTCCTGGGCCGGCTCGCCCAGCAGGCCCTGCCCTGCTGTGGTCGGAGTGGTTCTAGGTCGGTGGGAACCCAGCTAGCGGTGGTTTCTTAGCTGCGGACCACGGCTTAGCGTCTTTGTGCCAGAGCAGCCTATTGTGGCTTGTTCAGCAAACCGTGGCTAGGCAGACTGCGGCTTACTGTGGGGTGCAGGAGCGCAGCCAGAACCTGGGGGAGTTTTTATGGCGCCCCTGGCCTCCTGCGAGGGGCTGCCTCTTTTCTTCTCTTTCCCCTGCTCAACCCTCTGCGACCCCTGCACGGACACACTTAGTCTTTGCTTAGTCTCCCTGCCAAGCACGTACTACTTTTAAAAAGTAGGGTTTTCATCTATTTCATTTTATTCCCTTTGTACACCACCCAATTCCCAATAACTCTGGGCCCCAGGCAACTCGGATCCCTCTGTTAAGCCTACCCTCTATTTTGTCTGACTTTTTCTGTGGCAGTACTTCTATTAAAGAGGAAATACTGGCATGAGATATTGGCCTATTGAGAGCCAGTTTGGTGCAGTGGTGAAGGGGCTGGCCTAGAAAGCAGGTGACGGTGAGTTCTAGGCCTCCATGAAAGCCGGTTGGGTGATGTTGGGCCAGTCCCTCTCTCTCAGCCCAACCCACCTCACAGGGTTGTTGTTGTGGGGAACATAACAGGCAGGAGTATTACGAACGTTTGCTGTCTTGAGTTATATATATAAGAACGGTAGGATGAAATATTATAGTAATAATGACCGAGCAATATGCTTTGGTTGCTAGAGATCTAGCCAGCTGGAAGCTCTCCATGTGGACAAGATCTCTCCCTTGAGGGGCTTTCCATCTAAAAGTTGATGCAGCGAAAATAATGGGGCGGAGGGGGGAGAGAAGCAGAGCCAAGTGTCTGTGGGGGCAAATTTGTGGTTATTTTGCTTATACATTATTAGGTTTAGTTACAGTGGTAACTATGGAAAGTTGTGCCAGAGCCTTCATAGAAAAGGTGGACTTTGGAGCAGATATTTGAAAAGAAGTAGGAGACTTGGAGTCCCATCGAAGTT